TTCTATGACATATTAAGAAGTTTTGATCATTTGAATGTGTTAATAATTCTTTAAATATATTTATCATATTTAAATTTGAAAGTACAGTTTGTGTAATACAGTGAACGGAATATTTCGAATTTGAAGTTATATTATTTTCTTTTATGGTAAATCTGATAGCCTTTTCCGTTTCAAGGTATATTTTTATTACACTACTTGAAGGATATGTTAAACCACCACGATCATCAAATAGATAGCAGCACTAATGGCCCATATAAATATGGCTGAAGGTGGTTTAGAAGTCAAATCCCCCCCGCACCAGTGCTTCACTCCCCGCGTCCATAATATCCCATAATGCTCCGTCCTTCAAGTCCGTGGTGGTGGCAGTGGCGGTGGCGATGGCGATGGCGATGATGTTGATGGGGATGGCGATGGCGGTGGCGGTGGCGGTGGCGGTGGCGGTGCTGCAGCAGGTTGTGATGCAGCGATTTGCTGCATCATAGCCTGCTGCATCGCAGCTTGTTGTTGCATTGCCACTATGGCTTGTTGCAGTTGTGCCTGCAACTGTCTTACTTCTATTTTTAGGGCAGCATTTTCTAATGCAACATTTTCCGCTTTATTTTCAGGGAATTCCGAATTCAGATTTTCAGGATCTCGATTTTCAGACATTCTGTAAGAAAATAATTATAAATATAAATAATTTTATTTCAATAATTACTAGAATATTAAAAATATTTATGTTTCTACTTACTTAATGTTGCTAAATGATGAACATGTACGTTCCTAAATATATTGATATTAATAATTATAGCACCGAGAGAGCTCTTCATACGGCCAAATAGAAGGAAAAAATGGCCATCTAAATGATGCAATCATAGTCGATCATTTAATATGTAATAGATATTTCAATAATTACTAGAATATTAAAAATATTTATGTTTTTACTTACTTAATGTTGCTAAATGATGAACATGTACGTTCCTAAATATATCGATATTAATAATTATAGCACCGAGAGAGCTCTTCATACGGCCAAATAGAACGAAAAATGTCGATCATTTAATATATAATAG